CATCAGGGAACGAAACATGGTGGCTTCTTTTCCTCACCTTTGTATGCGCTGGACATGCACTGTGTGATTTGCCTAATTGCTCTTGTGGTGCATGGTTTGCTATGTTGTCCAGGCCTGGTGAAGTGGGAGGTGGCTTCAAAGCCATCTCAGATAATAGGATGGTTTTAAACCACTTCTGCCATGCAGCTCACCGGGACTAGACAACATAGCAAGCTGTGCCCTGTGCTAGTAATTAAGCAAACTGCCTGGCATGCCCCTGGTACACCTGAGGTTGGGGGAAAGAAGCCAGCATGGTTTATTCCCCCCCCCCCCCCCGTTATAATATGAACCTGCCCATTGTTGTGAACCTGGCTTCAAACAAAGAAAGCCCTGGCTGAATTAGCCAGTTTAAATGCTTAGATTTTATCACCAGTCAATGCCATTCCCTGAAGGCTTAATTGTAGGTGGCTAAAGGATAGTTTGGTTGTTGAAGTTGTCTGAGGGGGTCCTGAAGCAACTATTGTAGTTTGGGAAAGTTGGTGATGACATGAAGACTCTTTGCTCTTCATTTTGTTTAACTTGGCCTTTCCACTCATCAATGTATAATTCTAGGGAATTTTTCAGGCAAGGCCTCTGAGATCGTGCTTTGGCTCTGAACAGGCTGCAGCCTCTTTCTCTTTGCGGGGTAAATTTCCCTAACAAAATAGCCCGAGGACTGCCTAGACTTGTTAAAAAGCTAAGCAATTTTTCATGAGATTTAATGGGCAAGGTAGGAGGAAAGGAAGATCCTGCTTCTAATCTATCTTCCACCTGCTCCTCTGGTTCAATTTCTCATTCCATTTCTCACTATCCCTTTTGCAACCATTCCCCTACCCTACACCTCCTCCTAACATATGCCTAGAAGACTGCAATGTTGCTGCCTTTTCCCCCTTGTCACATCCTAAGTATATACAGTATGTACAGGAGCGAAGGGGTACCATAAACTTGCTAGTGTGAACCCCAAATCTGGCTTTTGTAGGTGAATTCTGCTTGAGTGAATGTTTCCCCATTAAAAACAACAGCAACATGAACCATATGCAGAAGGCGGGTTAATATGATCAAATACCCCATGGAGGCTTAAGCTATTGTGGACTGCAATGGGTGTGGGTGGCTATTTTGAATATTCAAGCCATGGCTGCAGTTTGTTGGGTCATCTGAAATTTCATAAAAAATTTGCCGCAGGTCGCGAACTCTGCATCGGGTGACGATCGCGACTGCTCCCACCTTCCCTGCACGGGCACGATCGTGGTTGTGCTGGGGGGGGGGGGGGGAGGGCCGCGATTGCACCCGTCTTCCCTGCCCAAGAGCACCCACACCTGCCTCCCCCGCCCGTGACAGCACCCCCCCCCCGTATGCCCACGATTGCACCCATCACCTCCTACCCCCCCACACACAATCGCTGGGGAGGAGGATGGCCACAATCTTTGTTCTTTGTCACTTTGCTTCACATTTTTGTGAGTAAAAAAAAATAGTTGCAGAACGGATTAACCTTATTTACATTGATCCTTATGGGGAAATTTGACTTGGCTCACAACCAATTTGGGTCACAACCAGAGTCCTGGAACAGATTAAGTTCGTGAGCCAAGGTACCACTGTATTTCTATTTTTGAGGCATTTAGTTGGACTTCAAGATTCATCTGCGTTCTTGACAAGCACACCCATTAAAAGGTGTTCCTTAGCCACTGTGTCTATTTTACACCTTGGACCAAGACAAGACTGATTGTGCCACAATTACACCAAATGGGCAGTGTAGAATGATATAGCACATTAGATGAAGATGTTACACTTTTGCATTTTTACAAACACATTCAGTGGTTCCCTTTTGCCCCAATGGGCTCCAGTACCAGGTGAGCCATGGAGAAGCGTGATGGAAGGAAAGACAGCACTGGCATTTGGTGCATAAAGAACACACTAGTACTTTAGCTCAAGATTTATTCAGTTGGTCTTCCAATACCCTCAGCTGCCTTTTAGCAAGGAGGAGAGCAGGACCAAACTAACTGCCCCTATTTTGCTGCACAAGTCCTTGTTGTAATTTGTGCACCTCAACATGTTGGAGGCTGTGTTTCCAGAGCAGAAAGCCTACTCAGTTAAGCTCCCTGCATGAATGAGAACCCTGGAAGATCAGGACTCCATCACCAAGGAGCCTAATTAATTAGAAATGCTATTTTCCCACCCTCAACATGCACAAGGCTATAGGAAAATATAGTAGGAATAAGGCCTGTGTACCTGCACTTGCTTTCCCTTTAACTGATAGTAATTGTGTGGTTGCAAGGGCAACCCATCCCCTGCTTTGGATGTGACTGGGACAGCCCAGTGTTTGATGAGCCTAAAACATGTGAACATTCTTCCTTTTTGATTTATATCACAAACACATGGGTAAGAGATCATTATGACAACCAAGCCATACGGCTCGCAATAAAATGTCCCAGGGGTTTGCAGCAAGTGTGCAGTCGATAAGAATCTTGTAAGAAAAATAAGCACTTTCTTTCTACATCTTAGATGTGTCTTGGTGTATGTTATGGAGAAGGAAGTAACAATTCACAGTGCAGTATTCTGGGACTGATTAAAAATAACAAACAGCTTTATGCCTCCAAGCATAAATATTGCACAGAAGCTCAGCCTAGCCTCAAAAATGGTCAGGTTTGAAAAATACCAGTAAGTTCCTTAAATCTGACTTAAGTCAAAGGGTTTAAGCAACTAAATTGCATGTAAGAATACAGCCTGGGATTCTGCCATGCACTCTGTGGATTTCTCCTAGGTAAACGTTATTTTCTTCCCCAGTTTATGGCAAAGTGTATTACATATGGTAAAGGATTTTGCATAGCTATTCCCAGTTACTTCTTTCCTCCTGAATCTCTTATTCTTGTTCCTTTGTGTGCTGTGATCTGTCCCATCATGCCTACACTTCTTATGATTGGCAGAAATTAGACTGGCCTGACCGAGAACAACAGAAAGTGGGGGGACCACTTCAGGGAGAGGCCACATTGTACTGTGTAATCATGGCCACTATACATTCAATGGTGCAATCACATTCAGAATACTAGACACAGTTCTAGTTGATCTAGCTCAAAAAGAGCATGAAGCTGGAAAGAGACTGGAAAAGGTATGGAAAAATGCAACTAAAATAACTGAAGAATTTCCATTATCTTCTGTATGTGGAAAGGTAGTTGTCTACAGCTTTTTCCTTTGGTAGGGATGTGATAGAAGTTTGATAAATAAAGATTAGTCTGAGTTAATGAGTACTATTCTCTCTTGCATAGGTAGGTAGTATCCGAGAAGACCCATTGAGATAGTAGGGCAATTTGTTCAAAATGATAGTGGCAGTGTCTAAGATGGCTCTGAAAAGAACAGGAAAAGGAATGGGGGTTTGGATGTTAGACATGACAGCTAAAAGGTGTCTCAATTTTCAGAGGTGTATCTCTCTGTTTACCTGATGGCAAGGACAAACAACAGGGACTAGTCTCCACTCTGGTGTCTTTCTTGTGAGCGTCCCAGGGCAACACCTTGACAGGTGTTGGAAATAGGATACTTATGGGCCTTGTCCAATCAGAGACAATTCCCATGCATTTACTTATTTAAAAAATTTCTATGCTGTAATTATAGTCCAAGGAATCTGAAGATGGTTTACAAAAAGGTCAAAGCATCAAAACAAAAACCCAAAGTGCTAGTACTTGATATTAAAATACAATGATTAAAATATATTACCTAACAATTTAAAAACTGGGTAAATAAAAAGGTTTTGGCCTGGCCCCGAAGCAAAGTGTCAGTGCCAGGTGAACTTGGGGAACAAGTTCCATAATCACGGTTCCCCTCAGAGGGTCTACAAATTTCCTCCATCTGTGGTCTTGTACCTAGAACTTATACTCATCTTCCTACATTAGTACCTCTAAAGCAGAGATAGGCACTGGGGGATGGTAAGATCACGTGACCTCTCTGGACCTCACTGTGGGCTGTGCTCCTGCTTCTGTTGAGCAGCTGAATTTGCCACTGGATTGCAGAGAGAGAGGGTCTTTTTAAAGGTGAAAATCACTGAAAGGCGCTGATGTGGTAGCAGCAGCAGTTGAGGAATAGGGACTATTTTGTTAGACATGAATAAAATTACTAAATTGAAATAATTACTATAAATTATAAACATATTGCCTGTTAGAAAGCTGGACTGGGACTTGGGAAACCTGAGTTCTAGCCATCACTTGGCCATGAAGCTCACCAGTTTCTCACTCTGAGTAACTTTCAGCAAGTTACTCACTCTGACTCCTGCCTACCTCATAGGGTGGTTGTTGTGAGGATAAAATGGAAAGAATTGTGCAAGCCACCTTGGGTTCCTTGCAAGAGGAAAAAAGAAGGGATTTAAGTGTAATGTAAATAGCAATAAATAGAAATGCAGTATATCTCAGTACAGGAGGGAAGCATGTTACCAGATGACCTCTGTGGGTGTGGAATTTCAGGGGTCCTGCTCTCTCTCTCTCTCTCTTTCTCTCTCTCTCAAAAAAAGAAAGAAAAAGAAAAAAGATTTTAAACTGGACTTGGATCAGACAACCCACATAGAGGATTGCCTGTAATGGCTGCCCTACCTGATGCATTACAGACTGTAGCAATTGATGTTCCACCCCAGCTGGGCATTCCTTTTCCTGTTATACTGCATCCTATTGCATACATTTAGAACTGCTCTAATTTCCTGTCTCCAGATCTGTCAGCGATTGATCAGGCCTTATTGTCTGGTTTCATGCATTGCTCAGTTCCTAGGGTGAGTTTCTGCTCTTGTTTGGGCCTGTTTGCTTAAGAGTATATCTTTCTTGGGTCTAAGTGGTCTGTTGCTTTGAGCAGCAGCCAGCAAGGATAGAGTCACCCCCAAATCTAGAGTCAAGCCTAGCTTGACATCTGGAATAACTAGATAGGCCCTTCCAACATAGTTGACTGCTAAACGTGGAGTCATTAATATCTGTTTGCTCTTCCTTCCTTCCTTCCTTTTTTTATGCAGAGTGAAGTACTGGGCTGATACCTTTGGTGAGGATTTATATAACATTGTCACAAAGTATTCTGGCTCTCTCTTATTGCAGAAGGTAAGTACTACATAAAATCCATAGAGTTGTTGTAAATATATGCACATGTGCACACACAATACACAAGTAAGTTTTCTTCTGTCCTTTTTTGAAGACCTTTTATAGAAAGAGGATATCCCATGTTCATAACCGCTTAGATCTATTTCCAAATTATTTTTTGAACTTGTGAAAATCACAATATTGGCATCAGTTGCAGAGTACTTTGTAGGAAAAGTATGTATTATTTATACATTTATACCTTCCTTTTTCTATAGGATATTCAAAGACATAAGACTGGGTGCAAAGCAAAGGTGCTTTGGGGAAACAGCTCCCCAAGCAGGACTCCATATTCAAAAGTATCACCTACCTCATCTTAAAATGGTGCCGACTTTATACTTTTTTTGGTGCCAGGTGAATACCATTTTTATTTAACAATCTTTTTAAGAATTAAGGATTCTAGATGTTTAAGATTACAGTCACATTCATTCATTTATTTATTTCAATTTATATCCTGCCTTTTCCCTACAAAGGGCTCCAGGCAGCTTACATAATTCTTATCCCCACAACAACAACCCTGTGAGGTAGGTTGGGCTGAGAGTCTGTGACTGGCCCAAAGTCACCCAGTTGGCTCCATGGTCGAGTGGGGACTAGAACCCAGATTGCCTCAGTCCCATGCTCTTAACCACTACACCACACTGGCTCTCGCATTCACATTTTTATAAATGTGACTTATTCATTTGCTATTTATTGTTTTAATTACTGTATCATCATTGTTGATTGTACTTTTATTATTATTGTTGTTTTTAATTATTGTAAGCTGTCCTGAGACGTTTTATTGGGAAAGATGGGGTAAAAATGTTTTAAATAAATAAGCGAATGGCAAGACAACAGGGGAAATACAGGAATACAATCATCTGGGGTAAATATTTTCTGTTTTCTTAGGCATCAGTGGGTGAATGGTGTCATCGTTAAAGAAAATGACTACCGTAAACATGTTAGCAGAAGTGGTTGAATAAAGCAGACTGTAGTTGAGGGCTTGGCAAAGTTAACTGAGTCATAAATATGCACCACCTCCCTTACAGTCTTGATTGCAGTCATTTCTGTAAGTAGGTACAGTAGACTCTCGACTGTCCGGCTCGCGACTATCTGGCCTCCGTACTATCCGGCCTAGTTAAAAAATAACTATCAATGAACAGTAAAATAAGTTTAAATAATTTTTGTAAGAATTAATCCTACGTTTTATGTTAATGTTTTGTTTATTTTAAAAGTGTATGTATTCATACTGTACAGTGTACATGATTTTATGTTTCCTGCAATTAAGTTAGACATTATAAAATTTATCTTAAAATGTGTACAATATGTTTATCCTTGAACTTCCTTTTTCTGTAATAAATTTTTAAAATGTACAGTACAGTACATAACAAACATTTATAAAGTACTGGCCTGTACTAAGAGGTCAGAAATTATGGATAAGAGCAGGTTTTGGTATTAAAAGGGTGTTTTTAATGGTATGGGTGGGATAGGAAGTGAGCATTTATAGAACTCCAGCCTATCCGGCTTTTTTGTTATCTGGCCTCCCCTTCTGCCACATTAGGCCAGATAGTTGGGAGTTCCTTTTTTGATAGTCCATTCTGTTCAGGGTTGCACGACAGCATAACCTGATGCTTAATGCCTTGTTGCTAAGATATGCTTAGATTTCCTTGTCTGTGCACTCTCCCTCATTATCAGTTCAAATTGTGCAGTGTCTTGTTGCTTGGTGAGGCTACAATTTGCTTGAGTTGTCCAGCATCTCATTCTTATGCTTTACAAAGGATATGCTGATGTATCTGAAGAAGGTTAAGAAGCAATTGCTTATCGTAGGAGTATTTATTTATTTATTTATTTATTTATTAAAACATTTATATGTCATCCTTTGCCGAAGTCTCAGGATGGCTTACAAAAATATCAATATGAATAACAATAAAATAATGCAAATCTCAAAAACAATCAATAAACAATATAATGCAATAGATAATCAATAAAAATAAATCAAATCAAGTCAAATCAATCAAAAGTGACTGTTAAAAACCATTAAAAATACTAATTTTTAAAATACTGTTTGAATAAAAAGGTTTTAACGTGGCGCCGAAAAGAATATAAACTCGGCACCAGGCGCACCTCTCTGGGAAGCGCATTCCACAATCTGGATACTGTCATTGGTCCATATAGCTCACTGTGGATTACCTCCAATGGATACTTTCCTCTCTTTTGATAACATGCTATCTTTGCGTAGTGTCACAAAGTCATCTGGCATATTTGTCAGTTTTGCTGTGAGGGCTCTCTTTCCTCCATGACAGAATCAGGAAATGGAGGGGAAGGATATTTGGCCTCATTGATAGTTGGGTCTTGATAACTGGGTGTAGGTAGTTAACCTGAAAAAAAGAAAATGGAGGTTTATTTTTCCCATGCACATATGTAGTTATAATACCTTCTAAATTACCTGAAGTTAGTGATATTAAAGATAGGGATGGTAGCAAGTTTGTTTTCGAGTATCTGTTCTCTATCAATTGAAACTTGATTTTCCATCTTTAACAACTGCCTTTTTTCTGTAAGTAAATCAGAGATAATTTGCATATTAGTGGATTCCATGGTGTGTTTTATAGATCCCTGCCTCACAGTCCCCTCACAGGACCTCTTATCTCCCCCACTCCCACCATTATGTCCAGAATGATAAAGGTCAAGGATGCTTTCAGTCCAGCTAGCCAGGGGAATGGCAAACAGTATTTGCAGTTTTGATACACTGATGCTACTGCAACAGATCTTGGGCACAACCGTTAGATAGCATCCTAAGCCTTAGAGAGGTGGTGTGCATCTCATGCAGCAACATAAGCATTCATCTTTACAGGCTATGCCAGTAGCATCAAAATCCTGTTCACAGTTGTTGCACAGGCAATCAACTGCAATTGTTTTGGCTAGTACTTCTCCCTCTTTCTGAATGGTGCACTTCTTCCTGCAGAAATGCATTGAGGTGGTGCTGCTGATTAGCTGTTTCACTGAGACTAGACCTCCCTCTAGGTCAGACAAGTACAATATGACCTTCATGAGAATCCTGTTTCTGCCGTTAGGTTGTGTGGTGTGGCTTAGAAATAGCTACCTGGACCCTTTCATGGTGATAAACTTTCTGTTAACAGGGAAGTCTTTGCCTTTTGTGCTGAGGTATATTTGTTGTCACTGATCATGTAGTTTGTAGCCCACACCAATGAACAGCATGATGATCTGCTTCTTTGAAGAATGTGGAAGCAGCTCTTGTTCTCCCCTTCTCTAGTTCTGTTTGTGGCTGCTCTGGCCCTTTCTTTGGCTTCTTCTCATCCCTGTTTGTGCTGCTTGGTTTTTCAGCTTGAGCTATCTTGCAGCAAGCTGAATTTGCTTGCCTGCTGGCAACTGGAGGCAACTCCTGCCTGCTTTGAGAGCTGCCTCCAGTCTCCTTGTCTGCCTTGCTTTCCTTTCTGTGACTGTACTCATCCATCAGCTTGTCTTTGAGATACTTTAGTGTCAGTTCTGGTTCTAGTTTGGTCTGAGAGTTGTTAATCAGCACACCATATGGTCCATGAGATCGCACTGTGGTTGGCTTGCCTGTTCTTTTCTATTCCTTGTTACTACTTTAATTTCCAGCATTGATTCCACATATTCCTCAATCTCCTGGCATCTCCGCAGCTTCATCCCCTACAGCTTATGCAGCAGGCACAGCTTGCTGCTTAAATTTGCATACTCAAGCATTTTCTGAAATGTGATCCACACACCTCTTGCTGTGTGCCCCTTCTGATGTGCACAAGTGGATCATTTCATACAAATCTTTGCTTGTTTGTGTCATAATCTGAAATCTTGACCAGCTTGACCTGGTGATGTGTTTGTGAAAGGCAGCATGGTTCACTGTGAAAGTGCCTGCATGATCAGACCTGTAGGTACTTGCAAAGACTGGGACCTGTACAATCATGCAGGGTAGAATCTCTGGAAGGCTATAGAAAATGCTTTCCTGCTGCTCAACTTAGCTACAATTATAAGAGTATTCATGGTGGCTGCAGTGTATTCCTGATTCTGCTTCCAGTCTTGCCTTACGTCTAACAGTGCTTTGCCTCCTGCTTGCCCTTGACTCCTCCCTTGCCTCTGGTTTGACCCTGCCTTACCAGCTACCTAATTCTTACCATTGTTTCTGGTCCTGCTATGCCTTGCTGAGTATCTGATCCCTGGACATGCCATTCTTTGTTGGTACCTAATCCTTGCCTGCATCTGAGGGCGCCTTTGCCTCTTGGTCTGCCATGCCTTGCTGGATATCTGACCCTTTCTTGTTCCTGGCTCTGTGTTGCCTCTGGCCCTTCTGTATCAATGCCAGGATCTCTGTTCACCTTTATCAACCCTCATCCTGGTGCTCCAGCTATAGAAGCCTGACAGTTTGATCCTTTTATCCCAGTTTCCTGGATTGTCTTCAGGACTGTGCTGGATATTGTGCAGAAATCATTTGTGAAACTTCTCCAAATGTCTGTAGTTAGTAATCTCCATTATTCACTTTTGCTATTCCCAGTTTGAAGTCTGAGTTATTTGCCATTTTCCCAGAGATATTGTCTGAGTCACCTTCTTAGATTCAATCACTTGCTGCAGCATACTAAATTGAATGCTTGCCAAATTTTTACTTAATCATAAATGGATCCCTGGCTATGCAGTCAGAAGAATAAATCAGCAGAGCAAATCAAACCAGACCACTAACAAAAAAACCACTACATTGCATAACACAGTGAACATGCTAGTATATTATCCAAAGGAACCCAGACTGAAGAGGACACTTATTTAGAGCATTCATACATCATATGACCCCAGTTTATTCATTTATTATTATTTATTATTTGCATTTATATACCACCCTAATAGTCCAGAGAGCTCTCTGGGTGGTTTACAAATATTAAAACCCACGAATCCTAAACAAATAAATAAATTGGCTATACCATGACAGTATAAAATAACATAGTTAAAATGAATTAAATAAATAA